TTATGTCCAAACTGAGTTGAGGCAAAGACCTACCAGGTCAAGGTATAGTTTTCCAGCCTCCGCTCTCATGCCAAAAAAGCCACTCTCCTGCAGGACTGCCTGCCCTGCTTTTCTACAACAACTAGCCTGGAGGAAAGAACATCGACTTTCTTGGCCAACTGCCACCCCAAGATAGCTGCAGAGGGTCTAGCCAAGCCAGAACTCCTCGGTTTGTTTTCAAGGCACCAGGACCAGAAATGCACCTCTTTCTGCCCAATACTACAGCTGTTTACAATCACCTTGGTGCCTCATGCTATGCTCTATGGCACCGTCACTGTCCCTTTCAGTCCTTGGTCACTCTGGAGGAGGGTCTGTTCCTCTATCACCCAGTACATAAGGTCTAGACACCTGACCCCAGGACCCCCTGTTGCACATGCTCTATTAAACAAACTCCTGATGCTCCCTGTGGCCTCTTCCTCAAGTCCTGGGCCAAAGCCTGAGGCTTCTTGGTGCCGTTTGATTCTAGTCACACGCTATTTAACTCTATCCAGCTACATTTCTAGAGGATCCTGCTACCCACCCGTATCTTCTTGGAGAAGTCAGCTTCCCCAGAATGACGTTAGATTGCAGAGGAAAGGCTTTCTGATGCCAGGAAGATTTGAGAGCTCTGAAACCTTTTTTTGAAACAAAATTTAGATTCTAAATAAGAACTCTTTAAGGGACCCTTAGGTGCTGATTCATTCATTCGATACATTTTTTGAGTACCTGCTCTAGGCCAGGCACTGTGCTAGATGCTGGGTATTCAATGATGATGACCAGAAAAGACAAGGTCTCTGCCCTCATGGAATTTAGAGTTGAAGTAAGCAGACCTAACAAATAAATACAAACATGTAATTAATTAGTACTTGTGAAAAGTGCTTTGAAGGAATGAACAGGGGAATGTACAGAGGAAAACGGGGAATCTTCCAAGGGTGACCAGACAAGGTCTTCAGAGTGGCATCTCTGATAAGAGCTAATGACGGAGGTGCAAGCAGCGTGTTTGGGGGTGGGAGTCGGGGGAGCAGGGGCAGAGACATCTGCTGAGATGGGGGACGCCTGCATGACTGAGGATGCCCGAGGATGCCAGTGGGCTAGAGCCAAGCAGGAGGGAAGGGAGGCCCCGAGTGAGGTCAGACAGGAAAGCAGGGCCTGGGTCATGGGGGCCTGAGGGGCCACAGCAAGGAGTTTTGGTTTTAGTCCGATGCAACAGGAGGCTAGTTTGTGTTTTTAAAATGTGATTCTGGCAGCTGAGGTCAAAACAGATAATAAATGGGGAGACCAGACTGTGGTCCAT